TTTGTACGAACAAAAGTAAGAGAAATTTAGGAGAAGAATACGAACATTTTCTTGCATGAGGCCCAATGTTTTCACAATTTTCACTATATATATCTCCACTACCATTAAAAAAAAATCATTGTTTCATTGCTTATGTTTGTGAGTTTTTTCTGCTGTCTGTTAGCAAAATATCTCCTGAACCACTGAACTGATTTTTAATAAAACACTCAAAGTGGATTGGATGTACAGTCTGATTTAAGATTCCTGCTACAATTTAGCAAAGGCATTAAATGCTTTTGCTAAAGTTTGAGGTTCAACGTGTAGTAGTAGTGAATACTCTCCATTCACTTCAAGCACTAGCAGATTGTGTGAGATCTTTGTCTAAAACATCTGCATTCCCCCAGTTTCATTATATGAAAAGTTGGCTGGCATTTAATGACAGTTCTTTTTATTTTGGACAAATACAGTGAACATTTTATTCCGTAAATCAAAGGAAGATGTTTCACCAACACTTTTCACTGCACTTGGTCATGCAACGGGTTGTGTGTGATCGTATACAGCAGGTCATCAAAGTAGACAGCTCAGTCAAATGGTTTTCAGCATTTATTTTTCTGCAGAAGAGATTAAAACACATTAATCCTCTTCTAGTCACCTTTTTCCATGCACTCTGCTCCTAAACATGTTAATGAGAGTAGTGTTCAAACAAACTGTGCTGCAGGAGTACATGCTACCGCTAGATAGCAAACTGTGATGGACACTTTTGCGCCAAAAAAAGTGAAAACAAAAATGCCATTAAAAATCATAATACCAATCAAAACAGCATAAAACTGCTTCACAGTGTTAAAATATATAATGGTAAACAACATGTGCCAGAGATTTCAGCTTACATGACTGCTTTCATAAAAATAAAAAAAAAGACGACACGATATCACAGCAGCACATTTTCCACAACTTACCCTCAGCAGTGCAGAACAACATTGGCTGTGTCTCAATTCATGCTAGCTGGGCCACGTAGGCCACATCCTTGCTGGGCCGGGTAGGATGCTCAAAACTGCTGCAAAATGAGACGGTCTAGTCTTCGCCTGACGTTGGCTTCACGTGGGTTTGTGTGACCACGTGCTCCCCCGTTACCATAGTGATCAGTTTCATGTCAGACTTAAAAGGCTTCGGGGCGTGTTTACACGTCTTTTTACTGGAAGAATAAATTCACAGTTAAAAAGGTAAACGTAAATAAAGAAAACAATAATTTGGGTTTAGCTCCAGTATCTACAACGGAGATAACACATATTTTTTATTATTATTACGAAAATAAAGTCATAATATGTGAATAAAGTTGTAATATTATGAGAATAAAGTTGTAATATTATGAGAATAAAGTCAGTGC